ACAAAAACCTAGTCTGGATATCTGCAAGTTTGAAGGCCCCCCTGAGGTGTTTGAATTCCTTCACCTTGGCCTCTGTTCTGGTGGAATTTTCTCTGCCCGGTGGTGTAGAGTCCTGATGACTCCCAGTTTGTGGTCTAAAGGGTGGTGGGAGTGAAATAGCAGGTACTGGTTCGTGTGTGCACACAGTGTATTTGTTATCAGTGGAGTTGGCTACTAAAAAATAAATCCTACCAGCTCCTGGATTGGAGAGACTAGCTTCTGAATGCCATAATAACTAGTCCACCCCTGGCACAAGTACTGTGCAAACTTTGCAGGTATTCACATTATTTCTCATGTGTAAGATTATGAAAACCTAAGAATATCTTGAGCAGTAAGAAGCTGTAGGCGTATCCAAGTACAATAAACCCTTGATGCATGATTTGACCATGAGTGTATCTTAAAGTTGTAAAAATGCCAGAGATGATAAGGATGAAAAAATAAATGTGTGAGCAGTTTCCCAAGTGTTTAGTAATCTTCTGGGCCACTCCTTTACCCAGTTTATGTGTACCCTACGCCAAGTTAAAGGTGGGCTCTGATCCTCTGATATGAATGTGTAACAGTTTATGGCAGGGGGACATTGCATTCTCCGTGTGGTACTTTAATTTTCCTCTTGGCATTCATCTTGTGCAGTTGGCTCTGCTGCTTGTGAAATTGCTGTGGTTGCCAGCATCTGAGCCAGTCGAAACTTGGGCTTGTTTGTTCTTAGCACTGACCACTGTCCTCTGTACTACATGGAGAATGTGTTTGGATTGCACAGAACCATGTGAGAGGCTGCATTTCAATCCAGAAGCAATATGAAAAGTCAACCTTTAATGTGCCATGGTCCGTGTTACCTCAATATCATTAACTTTTTCCTATCTAACTTTTCTTGTTGCTTTTAGTATTTTCAAGTAAAAGATAATTGGCCCCGCTCTGCTGTAGGAGTCCACTGTTCGTATGCTCCAGTGTCTAATGGGTGTTAGCGCTTATCAGGGTGGATAATGTCACTGCGTCGTCCTACATGACCGTGTTTTCAGGCCTGGTGATTGGCTGCTCGGATCTCAGGACCATTCCATAGGCACATTGTCAGATGTTTTGATTTTAGTAGTCCCTATTATCTCTACTCACACTATTTTTTTTTTCATTTTAATCCGGAGTGTTCTTTCCATATTGTGTGAGCATTCATAGCACAGCTGTAGGTAAGCTCGACACTCCTGCTTTTGGAATTTGGACTGTGGAATCACTGGTATATATAAAAGCACTTATCCTATGTTAGTAAGACATTTCTTGTCCAGCAAGTCTTATCTGCCTAAAGAATGTAGCACTGATTATAGTTTTATTGTATGTAAACCTTAGTAATGCACTTGTTTTATTTGCTCCCTTTTGGTCTGTTAAATAAACCCAGTAGCACAAAGCCACAGGTTTGCATTAACACTTCTCCCCAGCGACACATACTCCCTTTACCCCTGCCACTCCGTTTAGCTGTCGGGGATGCCAAAAATACTCAGTACGTCTGGTTATAGAGGACAAAACAAAAGGAGCGCCTCCATAGTGTAAAAGGGATTTATTAAGGATAAAACAAACAGCTGAAAAGGTACTTACAATCCAGCTTGTATAAACGAGCAGAAAGCGATATAATAATCAGGAGAGCATCAAGATGAATACATGAAAATAGGGTGAGGGAAAGGAAGTGCTAGTACTAAGCCGAAGCCATCTGCACGCTGACCCTCCATCAGTTGATGCGTTTCTGAGGACAAACCTCTTTCATCAGAAGGTTCTTCTGATGAAAGAACGTAATAAATATCAATGCATAGCAATAGAGCTGCAGCTAACGATTATTTTCAAAATCGATTAGTTAGCCGATTATTAAGTTCGATTAATCGGTTAATCGGATAAACAATAAAATACATTTTAAAAAATGGCTCCAGTGATGGACTACTAGTTTGTATTAAGATTGTAGTCCATCACAGGAGCAAGCTTGGAGCGGTGGACGTAAAAAAATGGTGTGGTGTGCAATATAGTGAAATGGAAAGTGTAAAATTATACAGCAATCAATGCAGACTGGCACCAGCTATTGAGGACTACAAATCCCAGCAATAGTACATTATACAACGCAATGCCGAATATCACCAGCTATAGAGGAATACAACAAATCCCAGCAATAGTACGTTATAGCTGGCGGTATTCTGCATTGCGCTGTATAATGTACTATTGCTGGGTTTTGTAGTCCTCTATACAGCGCAGTGCAGAATATCACCAACTATAAAGTTGTTGCAGCCCTACATAGCAATGAGTAAGCAAATAAATGGTGGTTCACAATCACAGCTGATCTAAATTTATAGTAGCTTGCAGATGCATTCAGCTAAAAAGTCCCTCGGTGAAAGCTAGTCCCCCAAATACAATTCTTGGTCCATATTAAGGTGCAAAAATATTCCCCATAAAGTGCATATATCTATATTGCTTCCAGGAATACAACAAATCCCAGCAATAGTACGTTATAGCTGGCGGTATTCTGCATTGCGCTGTATAATGTACTATTGCTGGGTTTTGTAGTCCTCTATACAGCGCAGTGCAGAATATCACCAACTATAAAGGAGTACAACAAATCCCAGCAATACATTATACATACAGTGTATAATGTATTGCTGGGATTTGTATTCCTATGTATACTATACAGCACAATGTACCATCAGCTATAGAGGAATACAAATCCCAGCAATACATTATAGAGCACCATGTGCGGGGGGGGTTAGGCTTACCTGAGGTACCTGTCTATCGGCGGCTGTCATCCCCCCACACCTGCTCCTCCTTACTACATCTCCCCGCGTCCCTGTGCCGATCGTGGATGTGGGCGGGCGGTGAGTGTGAGGCGGGAAGGAGGTGCGGCGTGTAGAGCGTGGATGCGGGCGGGTCTGGCAGCGGTGCGCAGCGTTTGTGGAGCCGTGAACAGGGCCAACTGTTTGGAAGCCGATTAATCGATTTATTGAAAAAGTTGACAACTTTTTCAATAATCGATTATAATCGATTATGTCGATTAGTTGTTGCAGCCCTACATAGCAATGAGTAAGCAAATAAATGGTGGTTCACAATCACAGCTGATCTAAATTTATAGTAGCTTGCAGATGCATTCAGCTAAAAAGTCCCTCGGTGAAAGCTAGTTCCCCAAATACAATTCTTGGTCCATATTAAGGTGCAAAAATATTCCCCATAAAGTGCATATATCTATATTGCTTCCAGTGACACCTCTACCAAACTTGTGCGACAACACCGATTTCAGCAGAATTGGGTGGACCAATCTATCAAAACCTGGTCATAAAGCGCTCGGAACTAATTTCCTCCAGTTCACAAGGCTCAGTTTTCTCAGCAATCCACTTTCTCCTTTATCTTGCAAAGTTGGTCATACACTTATAAGAAGAGAAGGAGATCCATGGCATAATACCGTTTTGGACAAATTTTATTAAAAATCAAAGATTAAAAACACTCGCAAGCTTAAAAATCAAATCCACTTATAAAATCTCCTCTCATCCACTTCCCCCACCTGTTATCAGCCTGTTCCCTCCAGTCCAGAGAGCAGGTGTAGCATTTACTTGTCCACACAACACTGCACTACCTAGAAAACGTCTGACATCGATGTGTAACCGCCCTCCTACATGTTTCATCATTGGACTTCCTCTGGGATGGCAACCAGCTGTGATTGTGAACTACCATTAATCTGCTGATTTATTGCTATGTATTGATATTTATTATTAATTTATGCTTATTCATCCGTCTGAATTTTTGGGACACCAAATAATTTTTAGCACTTTTATTAAATGATTAGGTAATTCTACTTGCGCTGGGCATTTGTTGACCCAGTTATTTTAAAAGACAGTTCGCTCTGAGCACAGCAGCTTTTTTAGGGTTAACTGAGTCATTACCATGGATCTTGTTGGTATATATAGGCTAGATGCTTTACATGATGCGCGTTTCAGATGCATCTGTCCTTTTGTCTATTGAAAGAGGACTTTGAAGTAGCCAATGAGATTGCAGCAAAAAAGTGTGTCTTGTATTTACATGGGTTTGGGTGCGTTTAGAAGCTAAATTGTTTCCTGACGCACCTGCTTTCTATTTTTTCTAAATGCAGCGAAACTGACTGCTTCTAAAAGCATTTAAACGCATGGTGTGAATGGATCCATTGGAAATCATTAGATGCATTTTTATGCGTTTAGAAAACCATGTTAAATGCATATAACAGGGTGAATGGGGCCTAGAGTTCATTAAAGGCTCAATTCATGAAGCTTTAACACAAAGATATAGATCTTTGTTTTTCAGATGGTTTGAATGGTTGTCCACAAATGGTTGTCCTGGTGTGTTAGATTTGTGAGTTAACGTTAGTGAGTTGACTTGGCAGCTCTGTGTTTTGGGTAGTCAAATCATAACTGCGCACAGTACACCTTTTTTTTAGCAAATGGCTCAGAGAATTCTTCCTTTGACAGAGGTTAACAAATCTCCCAGCTCAGCAACGGATGGAGTGGTTTTCCCCACCATTTGTGGTTAGTACATTTTGTAATGCATTGGGGAATCTACATACCTTAATGTCATGGCTAATGACGGCAGTCTCTGTACGTTCAGTATTATTGACTGTCAGAGCCATTATTTATCTATATGCCATAAAGATCGGAACATTAGTGTCTCGTTTATCTACTTCATGTTATATAACGTATAAAAAAAAGATTTGAATAAAATAATTACAATATTATTTCTAACAACTTGATGAACGTTATGAACAGACATATATTAAAGTAAATCATGATCAAATATGCCAAGTGAAGCCTTCAAAGTGCGCTTGTGAACAGAGTAGCCTATGTTATGTATGATTTATGTCAATTATTAAACACTGGTTACCTTTGGCCATTGGTTTTCATTGATATGTATATGTAAAGAGTCGATTATGTTCGGCCTTTAATGACTTTTAGTGAGATTATATTTCTTCTTTATTTCAGAATGTTATGGACCAATTCAACCCCGGATTAAGGAATTTGGTTAATTTGGGAAGAAATTATGAAAAAGCAGTATCTGGTAAGTTTACAATTTCTATTTATTGAGTCTGTTTAGCTGTTACAAGAAACAGTAACTACACCCAATATGTTATTTACATTGCTGAAGTGCTTTGAATGCTTGCTTTAAAGGCCAAATCCGGTCTGGTAAAAAAAAAAAAAAAATGTGTGTGTGTGTCAGGAATGGCTCGAGACATTCTTTTTTGAGGGGTGCTGTCTGTTAGTATAAGTGTGAGAGCTATGTCTCCAATCCTGAATCCTATGTTATAATAAAAGCAGACATAACATAATGAGAAATGCTTAGTCAGAAAATCAAGGTTGCAATGTTATGTAGAAACCATTCACAGTGTAATAAGGGAACAGACTTTAGCCGTTTAAACACATTGAAACGTACCGAGTACAGTGGTCTGAAGTATGTATCAGTGCCCCCCACATTGCTGGTCAGTAAGTTAAAAAATCGGTGCTAATCAGTGCCAAGGGATGTATAAACAAACCATAGCTGCCAAAGAATTAGGAGTAACACCTTGAAGGGAATGAGAAGAAGAATGCAGTGTGCTACGTGGGACGCCCATTTTCAAGGGATCGAGGGTGCTGCGTGCTTTTAGGCATGGCTCCAAAAGTGAGCATGGATGATAACATGGGTTTTGATTAACGATGTATGGCATGTAGTGTGTCCCCTTTCTTAATAAACCCAATTGTTGGTGTCAGTGCCAGCAATAATAACCCCCAGCAAGTGTCAGGACTAGCAATAACCCCTAGCAAGTGTAAAGACCAGGAATAATGGGGGTTATCTGCATGTGTATAGGTTAACAATCATGAACCCCCAGCCATTGTAAGGGCCGTCAATAACCCTCATCACATTAACCCCCAGAAAGTGTTGGGGAAAACAGTAACCCCCAGCACTGCCCAGTAGTTACCTCCAGCACTGTACAATAAATACCCCCAATTCTGCATTCTTAGCATTTTTTTGGGAGATGGCAGCAGGAGCCCAGCTAAGCTATGGGGGAGCGTATAGAAATATGGAGGGGCCATAGAACACCCATACACCTCACTGACGCAACCACTGAAGTGTGAGTCCAGCATGTGCAAGGTATGATGCTTATTTTGTCTAGGGGCAATCTAATAAGGAGGAATACTTGCCTTAAGCCACAGTCCTGCATGCTTCCTCCCCACTGGTTCTGCATGTGACAACTGCTCCCCTGAGGCCTTTCTTCTTGCAGTTTTCCAAACAATAGGGTTGTCGCCAAGCTTGTCAATGTCCTCATGTACATTGCAGGACCAATGGCCGCCGCTGGTCCCAAATGTGGGTGGGCTGTCAAAGCCATCAAGTATGATACGTGATGATGTTGACGGTCTATTCATATTCTGAGGCTGGAGAGAAGAAGACTGGAGCACTGGCTGCCTTGGGACTGGGAGTAAATGAAGTATTCCTTTCTATAAGATCGCCCGAGACAAAACAAGCTATATCCTGCATATGTTGGCACACACACGTGTAATATATTTTTGGTCTGACCAGAACTCATCTTTAAATTTTTAAGACAAGTGCCACTTACAAAAAGTACACTTAGAAAATCCAATCCATAAAATGCTAGTTTTAGCTTTCCTTGTGCGCCCCTTTTTTGTCTTCTACCCTCAAGCTACAATAAGTCTCAAACTTCGCTAACTGCAAGCTGACATCTGTAGAAGCAAGCTGACTGATGTGCTGCTACTGAAACAATCCAGTATGTCCAGCTGGGACCCAATGGGCATAGTTTAGTAGTAACAAATCTGTAGCTTTGTCTGTAGCTGGCTCTTGGGTTGTCAGTAAGGGTCCTACAATACATCTGATTTATAAGGTCCCATGGGTCTTGCCTTTCTGGCCTGGCAACCATAAATTCACAGAGGCCTTGTACTATGTCAGTGTAGGTGAGGAACATGGGAGCTATCTATGAAGGTGTGTGTATGTGTATATATACATACACACACACTACTGTGAATTTTGTTAGCTGTAGATGTTTTCAATGCTTTAAATATGATTATCTAAATCAGCCCAGAACCTGGTTAGTGATTTAAACTTCGTCTATGCTTTGCATATCTGCAGGCACAATCGCCACATGACACCGTGTATCTGTAATATCCTGTTTGCATATTTTTGTTTACTGTATGTGTTTGTGCATTAACCCCATCACTGCCAGGACCAAAATCCCATAGTTATATCATTTTGCTGCACAAGAGTTCATACAAAGGATTGGAAACACCTGGTTTCTTTCTGTTACTGTATACTAATGGTTTGGTGAATTTCTTTGGTTTGACTGGATTAGCTTAGAGAACATTAGTGCAGCATGAATTATCATAGTACTGTTGAACAGAAAATCATATTGCCTACATCTCCTAATTCTACCCTACAAATCTTTTCCCTAAACATTCTAGTCGACAATTCCTTGCTCCAAGAGCCTTTGGCTATTCCCAGTGTGAACATGTTTGAGAATCTATGGCTTCAGCTGCATAAGGCAACAGCATTAGGAAACCTTTAACCATGTCACCATAAATTCAGGATTTTCATGAGATTATCCAAACTTGGGTAGACAAATGGAAAGGCTTGTGTAGAGCAGACATGGCATTGGACTCACTGTCTGGGGTAATCAGGAGTGGTGCATAATGAGCTGTCTGTTTTCAAAAGATGGCAGGTATACATTAAAAACAACTTACAATGTCAGAGCTGTTTGGATGCCATTATTCCTATTAACTAATGTGTCTTGCTTTATGGCATGGAGTTCTAGCAGACCCCCTTCCCGGTTTAGTGGTCTCTCTGTTGCCCACAAAGGCAAGATCAGCCAGGCAGGAAAGATGATTCTTGTGAGCTCTTTTCTCTACAGGGTTTTTTCAGTAGAGTAGTGAAAGGATTTCAGTTCCCCGGCTATTGGCTGGAAATAGATATGCATGAAGTATTCATATGTAACTTTATAATAATACAGGAGCGAGTGCCATCATTTTTTAGAGATCCGCACATGCTCCACGATTGGGTGTGGCAACTGCCACAGGAAGAGATTGCACTGCACATGATGGGGACAAGTGTCCAATGGCTGATGGAGCTTTAAACAATATTGGGAGTTTTTTAGGCAGGCACAAATGGCCTACAGGTATGACAGCTGAAATAATGAAGATTTTTAAAAGCTGCTAAGTTTAACTCCTGGGCTGTACAGCATATTTTGTTACAAAAGTGAACGTACCCTTTAAAATATTGTGTTTTTATTCATTTTGAATTATTTTTAGAACTGGAAAGAGTCAGTTTATGCTGACAAGCAGTGTCTTTCTAAGGCTTGAGCCTAGTCATGTGCAGAGCATAGTATTTGGATCTAAGTTATCCTAAATAATTAAGACCTTGTGTGCTGCTCGAATGTAGCCGGTTGAAATTTGATGTGGTGTATCAAATACTGAAGCAGTTTAGATAGATTAAGTGTACATTGCCGCCAGGACTTTCTAAAATAACATTGTGCAGATTCTTACCTACTGTCTGGGATTTTCCTCATAAAGATTTACTTTGAGTCATTGGCTGTCAAGATTTGTGATCTTTGCAATAAAATACACCCAGTGGCTTTTCTGTACTGTAGCAACGATCCTATTCTCAATGAACGTCCTAAAACAGGCAGGGGACAAACAAAGTTCTAGGGATACATTATATTACCAAAAGTATAGGGACACCCCTCTAAATCATTGGACTCAGGTGTTCCGTGAAATTTTCTTGCTACTAAATATTCCACGGTCACTTGTTAGTGGTATTATAACAAAACGGAAGCAACTGGGAACAACAGAAACTCAGCCACGAAGTGGTTGGCCACGTAAAATGACAGAGCGGCGTCCGCGCATGCTGAAGTGCGCAGAAGTCGCCAACTGTCTGCAGAGTCAATAGCTACAGACCTCCAAACTTCGTGTGGCCTTCACATTGGCACAACAACAGTGCGTAGAGAGCTTCATGGAATGGGTTTCCATGGCCGAGCAGCTGCATCCAAGCCTTACATCACCAAGTGCAATGCAAAGCGTCGGATGCAGTGGTGTAAAGCACGCCGCCACTGGACTCTTGAGAAGTGGAGACGTGTTCTCTGGAGTGAGGAATCACTGGCAATCCAATGGACGTGTCTGGATTTGGCAGTTGCCAGGAGAACGGTACTTGCCTGACTGCATTGTGCCAAGTGTAAAGTTTGGTGGAGGGGGGATTATGGTGTGGGGTTGTTTTTCAGGGGTTGGGCTTGGCCCCTAAGTTCCAGTGAAGGGAACTCTTTAAGGCATCAGCATACCAAGACATTTTGGACAATTTCATGCTCCCAACTTTGTGGGAACAGCTTGGGGATGGCCCTTCCTGTTCCAACCTGACTGCGCATCAGTGCACAAAGCAAGGTCCTGATCTCAATATGATAGAACACCTTTGGGATGAATTAGAGCGCAGACTGCGAGCCAGGCCTTGTCGTCCAACATCAGTACCTGACCTGGCAAATGCGCTTCTGGAAGAATGGTCAAACATTCCCATAGACACACTCCTAAACCTTGTGGACGCCTTCCTAAAAGAGTTGAAGCTGTTCTAGCTGCAAAGGGTGGGACAACTCAATTTTGAACCCTATGGACTAGACTGGGATGCCATTAACGTTCATGTGCGTGTAAAGGCAGGAATCCCAATACTTTTGGTAATATAGTGTATTTGACGTGCGTTGGTGCCTAATTTAAAGTGACACTAATCTCAGGAGTTAAATCTTAAAAATACATTCAAGTACCTTCACTATTAACAAAAATGTATCTTATTTGTGTATCACTCAGCTGTAGATCCTCACATCATCTCTGAATTGGTGGTGACACTGTCCTTCCTTCTGAAGGGTGGCTACTTTTGTTTCCCATGGTCCCTGTGTGTGTGATGGACTACATTCTCACGTTTAGTTTACTCATTTGTATTGAGATTGTAGTCACACAGGAGTGAGCTTCTTTTTTGTTACTAGTTAAGGTACTTTAATTAATTTTTAAGATCTAATTCCTGAGTTCACAAGGAGCCAATTTCAGTCCATTGGTGACCCTATTTCTTCAGCAGAAGTTGATCATTAGTTCAACTTTTGGCAAAGAACATCCTAATAGGTTGGACTTGATGGACTAATGTCTTTATTCAAACTCAAATACTATGTAACTATGTAACATCTGGGAAAATCTTTTGGGTATTTAGACAGCGGCCAGCAGCCACTGTCAGAATACAATAGAAGTAGTGGAGGATTCATCCATCCACGCTGAAATGGAATCTATTCTATTTTCTTAGTTCAGCCCACAGGTTGAATGAAGAAATTATAGAAGTGTATATATTACTTTAAACTCAAAAAAGGCAGGCAATGGACTAGTCCCAGTATTGCCAGTGGGCTCCCTGCGGTTGATGTTTATCCCCATTACTGACTTACTATGCCTTGTTCCACACAAGGACTCTGTGTGGTGACGGTCATCTTTGTAGAGACAAGGATTTCTCATACCAAACCTGCCCCCCTGACTGGAGGGGGAATGAACAAGGAGCAGAAGAAGAGGTGAAAGAAACCCAGATCCACTGAATGAATGAAACAGAAGCAGAGAAATGTTTGCATGCAGCTTCCTCTCTTGCAAAAACATTGTGAAAAGCACAGGAATTACACCAAATGGTGGGACTAACAGTCAGAGACAGTAGTGCCTTAGATCAGGGGTCGCAACGTACCGACCCGCAGGCCAATTGCGGCTCGCGACCCGGTAATATATGGTCCGCAACCAGCTGACAAGTCAGGCACACAGTCACGGACCGCATACCTGACTTGCATGATCAGCTACACGACCTGCATCTCTGTCAGATGCAGACTGCATAGCTGCTGCTGGCTGTGTGCTCAGTTCCATTTGGCCGGAGCTCTGAGCTGCGGCCGGAAGGATTGATTAGTAAGGTCTGCAGCAGACCTTACCAATCACCACTGGATCACCAGGGAATGATGTGCCTCCTCCCTGCAAAAACGTGAGCAGAAGAGGATATCGCATATGATTACATGCGGTTAGGAATCATTCTCCCTGGATGCATTGATCGTGCATCCAGGTATAATGATTGATTTATAACCACATGTAATCGTATCACATATGATTGATATCATATCACATACGATTACATGTGGTGTGCAAGCGTTTAACTTGAATGGGTGACAGCTGCCGCATGTAAACTCCACATTAGTGATTCTTGCTGCAGGAAAACGCTAGTTCCTGATGCAGGAGTCCCTAATCAAACCTAAACTTACAGGTGTGAATGGGGCCTGTAATTTAGTGTTTGTAGTTCCAGTTGTGGGGGGTTGTGCATATTTGGCAAGCGGCTCACATGGGAGAAAAAAATTTAGTCCAGTGGCCCGTGAGTGAATTGAGTTTAAGACCCCTGCTTTAGATGATATCACAATGCAGATATACAGCTATGAGGCTACAGGACATGAGTGCCTAAGCACAGTCACATGTTAGGAAGTACACTGCTTTTTTCACAAGTAATTCAAGGTAAAAAAAAAAAAGAATTTCGGCTACTGCATAGGCACAGTTTACATTTTTGGATGTTCTCTATAAAAAAAAAAACTAATCTTCACATTTTGAGATTAGGTACACGTTAAAGCCTAAATCCAGCCATTCTTGTTTTTTTACTTTTTGATTTGAGAGTTGGAGAAAATTAAGATTTCTGCGAGGTTTTCACTTCTGTCTTTGATTTTCCGCACACTTCCTGTCCCTCTCCCGTGATGGTGCACCCCCAACGAGTTCTACTCGCCAATCTGCACTCCATCACCTTCTCCGCGCTCCATTGCCTATACGACAGTGCTCAGGCCTCACAGTGCTCAGGCCTCACGATGCAGTCATCGGGCCTGAACAATATCATGTCCGGAAGGGGAGTCATGTCATCCACACTGGCAAGCTATCACAGGAAGTATGAATTTGTGAATATGATTACAGATGTTGGGGGCACTATCAGCAGACACTGTACTTTTGCCCTGAATATAACTTCATAGAGAGGAAAAAAGGTGCAGCTAGTATACTTTCTGCCCATTGGATGGGGACTTACATGTGCCAGCTTGTTTAGTTACATTTTCTAGGATGTATTCCTCACTCTAACTGGCTAAAAGCTAATACTGTAGTTCATGAATTCAAGAAGACCTATTTTCTCTGCCTTATGAAACTGTTTTAAATCCTGCTAGTATAATTCATGGAAATGATATTAGTATCTCATAATCTCCTTTACATCAAATGTCAGTATATAGGCATGGAACTGTATACTTGTGATTTAGTGGCTTTGTGCTCCTGTAATGTTTGTAAGAGTATCAGTTTCAAATAGTGATGTAAACAGTTATTATGTCATGTGCATTCTCTGTTTTACTGATTTGTATGTTTCTTCTAGTAATGGTACAAGCTGGAAAAGCTTATTATGATGGACTGACCAAGGTGGGAGAAATGACTACAGTATCACCGGTATCAAAAGAGCTGGGTAAGTTAAGGATGAAACATTATTTTTGTTTGTGTTTGATGGAAAAATAGGCCACTCTGTCTGGATGTTACTGGAGAATCTGTAGCTGCCAGTGTAGCAAATGTTCTCTTAGCAGTTCTCATGCTGAAGGTGTGGCTGGCAGCAAATATATTACATTAAACAATTGGAGAATTCGTATCTCTGTTTGCATAGTTGGTTTGCTTCAGATGTGAGAACAGAATGATTATCAGAAGAGGAAAAAAACACAAATCAAGGTTATATATACAGACATTACCTGGAGGACCACTAAACACCTATCTTTAATCGTACATTGTATACTGTATTTGAGCAACCTCCTGGAGGGGTTGCACAATCATGTCCAACTTTATTTGAGGTTTGGTTCCATGTTTGTCTTGAGGTGAAGTGAAGTCACTGCCCTGGAAACAATATGCAACAGACTCTCCAGACGTAAGCACATTTTATTCCTTAACATGAACATGGATCTTACAGGAAAAAGAAGAGGGCAGGAGCGCAACAGTCTAGTGCCAGTTGTGTGGATGGGAAATGATGAGTACATGAGGATGTGTATATGTGGGGTGGTGAAAGGGGATGTAGAGCACTTGCATGTGATGGGTAGTGTGGTGATGGGACACCTCTGTTGGCGTGGTCGTGGATTCACGTTTTGGGGCTGGAAGGACGTAACAAGGTGTTGTCTTGGTCCTTGTGCGCAATCCCGGTCGAAAACCAATGTGGAAGGAAGACAATGGCAAAAGTTCATAGTTTAGAGTCCAGACTCCATGACCATGCTAACAGAAGTGTCCCATCACCACACCACCTATCACATGTGCTCAACATCCCCTTTCACCACCCCACATATACACATCCTCTTTTACTCATCACTCCCCATCCACACACCTGGCACCAGACTGTTGCGCTCCTGCCCTCTTCTTTTTCCTGTTCAGTCTTACAATTGGACACCCCAGTCCAATCAGTATAGGAGCAGCACACTGGCCACCATTCACTATACCACCCTGGGAGTGCACTAATCAATCAGTCTCATCTGAACTTTCTACATGCATCTTACACCCTTCCTCAGAGGGAATAACTTCACCTGAAAACATAATAGCACTAGGAGCTCTGTGCTCCTCCACACAGGTATATGACTAGTCCTCTTTAAAATGTGAGCCAGCAAGCTCATGGATTAGGTTCTATTATACCAGAAAAGCTATACCCAGTGGTCAACTTCCATCATGCAATTTATTTGCTAAAATGAATGTTTGAACATCTCTCTAAGGGGAAGGCTTCTCACACACCTGATCATGTTTGAAGGCTTTCAGTCCTCTGCTTAGACTGGTGTTGTCTACAAATAGGTCAAGAATAGGCAAATCCAGGGTTGTGGCACCATTTTGATATAAAGTAAAAACTCGTCGGCAAGTAGTATAATAGTTATCTTTGATCGTCTTTCATCTCTGAGAGTCATCAGTGATAGGTTTGCTACTGAACACAGTTGCAGGGCAGTTGAGTATATAGTCACTTGAACTGCTTTGATATCGCTGGCCCTGGACCTACAAATAATCCACTCCTCTGTGTGGCTTACCTCTGCCAGCCTCCATTCACAAAGGATAGTCCTCCATATTTTCAAATTGCTTATTGCATTACACTTTTGTCAGTATCATTTTCATTACATATATTTGGATCACATCCTTAACCACCCATGCCTAAAGTATGTCTGTAGGCATCTGAAGAATGCCTTAAAGTGATATTAAAGTCAAAAGGTTTGTAAGCCATTTCAAATGCTTATTACATCTTGTACAATGGATGGTGCTTCTTGATATTTAAAAGTTTCTGTTTCCTGCAGAATCAGGTGGTGCCCCGAGCACTGTTCCTGACATCTTGTTTTAGGGTCTTTTCCCTTGCAGGGTCCTATGGAGCCACCCTTGTGTGCGCTAGTAAGCTGTGTCTGTCTTCACAGGCACAGCAAGCCAATCCAGTGCTCCGTGCACCTCCCCCCCTCCCTTCTGCAAGCTAGTAGATGGACAGCTCCTGGAGACTGCTCTGTCCCTTGTGATCATGTACTGAACAGGAAGTTTGGGAACTCAGCGCTTAAACAGATGGAGACATAATGACTGTAGATGCTTGGGCAAACATTTTGAGAAATACTTTGCTGATCAATGTACTATATACTGTATTTTTGATCTGGATTCATTATTGAGAAAAACTATTTTGAGCATTTAATACTACTTTAAATTCATGAATTTACTAATTATTACGGATAGATTTGTTAATCCTATCAAGTTCTGGAAGAAAGCCGTGTTTTTGACATTATTGTGAGAAAACTCCACTGTTAACTAGAGGGAAGTTACTTTCAAACAAAGGCAGACACCTTTACAATAGCACAGGGAAGTGTTTGAGATCTGATAGATTCACTCACAAGCAGAACTATTATGTTTGCTATTATAAGTGTTATAGCCCCGGGCACAGTACACTCAGTTTTGAAGCATACAAGGGGCGCGCCTCTTGTACTGAAACAGTAGGTAATACACGTTACGCTTTGGTTCATACATCATTATGTAGGATGGCAGACATGTTGGTGCACAGTTCAATACAAAATTCCTCAGCATGCAGGTCTATTAGGCAGCAATAGTGTCCATCTAATTTCTTTAGAATTACAAAGCAATGATCGAGTTGGATCACACCTTTTTGGTTGTTGTTATTTACAAGTTGTTACAATGGCAATGGAGTCTTTCCAAACACATCCTCACAATGAATGGATTAAGTATTTTCATAAGTGACAATGATGATCAGAGCTGGTAGATTGGAAGGGAAGGAGAGCTCACTGCACTTGTTCTGTCATAGTCATTCATTTTATCCAGAGGATGAGGAGGAAATAAGAAAGAATGCAGACTATGGAATTTTTTTTGTTGCATTTATTACAGAACAGGGAAAATGTGTTACTTTTCTATGCAGATAGGGACTGGTGGGTCAGGCGATCGTTACTGATTTTGGCTAGCCACAGATATGGCCAATCTGCACAAATTGGTGTGTTTGTCTATATTGAGTGTATAAAGCCACAGAGCCTCCTGTAGTGCCTGTTATGTTTTTTGGCAGCAGCTGCAGGTCAGTGGATTTAAACAAAAGGATTACGTTAAGGCTTTCACAATACATTTTCCTTTAGCAGAAATGTGTTTAAAGCAAAAAAGAACAAAGATCATGTTTGTATTGTAAAAGCATATTTCATGGACTTGGCAGGATTTAATGGTCTGACCTGTTTGTTTGCTTTAACCAGTTGACATCCGCGGTGTTAAACCCCCTTCCCATCCAGGCCATTTTTCAGTATTCAGCGCTGCGGTACTTTAACTGACATTTATTCCGTCATGCAGCGCTGTACTGAAATGAATTTTATACCCTTTTTTGGGGACAGATAGAGCTTTCTTTTGGTGGTATTTATTCACCACTGGGGGTTTTATTTTTTTACTATATTAAGGAAAAATTACCGAAATTTAAAAAAAAAAACAGTTTCCCCTATATTAAATGATAAAACATTTATTATTACCCAATTTTTTGGTAAAATATAAAAGATGGGGTCACGTCGGGTAAAAAGACACTAAACATGTCAAGCCTTAAAATTGCGTGCGCGCGCGAAACCTCAAAAAACGATAATACCCAAAATTGGCCCTAGGCGACGCTTTAAAAGCTGTTACCGCTCATCAGTTTAGTGTTATCAGTGATTGATGGCCCTAAAATGATTGCTCTCACTGCGACGTTCGCGGCGATATGTAACATGTGTAGCGCAATTGTAATTTTTGCGCGCTGGGGCACCGGACGCGTATTTACGTTTATAGGCGCGTAAACGTGGGGGTGGGGGAGTTAAACATTTTGGGGGGGTTTTTTCCCCTTTTTTTATATGTGGCTTTTATTTTATTTTATTTTTTTATGTGTTACTTTTCTTTTTTTTTATTTATATTTTTTTTTTTGCACTTATTGTTATTGCTATTATATAGGGGGATAACAACCCGCTATATAATAGCAAAGGCACACTGACAGCGAGCACATATAGGCGATCGGGCTATGGACCCGCCGATCGCCTATATGTGAAACACCCGGTAACGGGTGTGTGCATTTAGCGGGTCTTTTCTGCCCGTGCGTGCCCGCTAGGGGGCGCGCGCGAGCAGAAAAAAATTGCCGTCTGGAGACGGCAACCCGCAGATGCTGCCGTTTTTTTACTACGGGCGGACGGCAAGAGGTTAATCAAAGAAAGGAGTCTGCTGTATTCTCTCAATAGTTCTATTATTTTTTGGGTCTTAAAACACAGGCAGTAGTTTGGTTGTCCGTGCAGATGAGGGAAATTGGGTAGAATTGTAGAAGAGAGGGCCGTTCACATCAATGTGGTGTGCAAATCGCACGATTAACGTATGCTCAGTAGGTGTGTTGCTTTGCTATTCACTTTGCGGACCAAACACGTTGGTCCGCATGGGCCCTAAAAGTTTAATGAATTTTAGCATTAAAGTTGAAATAATAATAATTTCATTCAAGTCACTATGTTTAAAAAATGTGCCTTCGTCTCCAAATAGGCTAAATAGTAGGGATGCATCTAATAATAGTATCGGTGCAGATACGGAGTATTTGGGCGAGTACTCATACTCGCCCAAATGCTCCGATACTTGTCCTGATACCAGAAGATCTCCCTCTGACCAGCAGTGCCGAGGGAGCATGGAGCCGGCTTCCTTTCCAATCAGGAAGCTGGACGGCACGTCATGACCTGCCTCCCGGCTTCATGAGGTGCTTGGTCAGGAAGCCAGGCTGCCTAGCAACCAGTGAAGATGGCTTCCTAGCTTATCAGGAAGCTTGGCGGTGGGTCATGAGGTGCTTGGTCAGGAAGCCAGGCTGCCTTGGCAAGTGAAGCTGGTGTTCTTTCGATTGGAGGAGGAAAGATACTCTCTGCTGGGACTTTATGGAGGTGGGGCAAAGCAGGACTCTACAGTGGGGTGATTTTGAAAGCCTCCAGAGATGTCTGGTTGGGC